TTTCATTTTCTTACCATATCATTTCAAATTTATTTTAATAATTTAATTATATTATTATAATTAAATTGACAATTTGAGCCATAATTCATATCAGAAGTACTATAATACATATATAGACATAAGAACATTAAAATAAATAAATAACAAGTATGCTTAAGCGATTAAGACTAAATTATCAAACATTTTTATTTGATTAAATCGAGTGTGAGAGAGAAAGAGAGATGAGTGAGAATGCTACTAATAAGGGTTTTGATAGTTTCTATTTAATATGAAATTATTGTGTTAACTAATTGATATTTTTTTTTCTTGAAAAATAAAAGGGGAAATTACAATGAAAAAAAAAATTCAAGGTTTGATTCATGTAATAAAATAAATTCTAAATTTTAAATTTTGTCAATTTAAATTCTAATTTTTTAATTCGTCATCAATTTAAACAATTCGTTTATTTTCGTTAAGTAAAACCAATAATAAAAAAAAGAGTATTTTAGCTGTGAAACTCAATGTAGATACATATAAAATGTCCATAATATATTTTTTCATTGAGTTTAATAGCTAATATATTATTTTTCTATCAGTTTTACTTAACGAAAATACACAAATTGTTTAAATTGAAAACACATCAAAAAAATTAAAATTTAAACTGGCAAAATTAAAATTTTAGGATTTATTTTTTTATAAGGGTCAAACACTATGATTTATTTTTATTTTTGTAACTTTCCAAAATAAAAAGTATACACTCAATGCATATGATGGAAATGTTGTTTTACTTTTTAGAGTGGAATTACATTTTTTTTTATTTATTTTTTTTTTTTTTCACAAGGTAGAATGTTAGATGTTAGTAGGAAAGTTGGATTATACTAAAGAGTATTCATCATTGCTCCATCAGGTGGAATCTCAGATCACGCCGCATCCTAGGGCCGGCTACACAACCACTATGACAACTTCCAGGGTAGAATATGTATAGTTAGATTACCAAATTATGAATGAATATGTATTAGATCCCCAAATAATATTGCTCAACTTGTATTTAATTAATGCTACTCCTACCTGTACCATTCTAAAAAATGTATTCATTTTTCACATCCTTATCTTAGTACACTCATTTAATTAATATGTTAGTTTCTTAATTACTCAACATTTTGTAAATGTTATAATAACATTATCTCAACAAACTCATTAAAATTAGTTGATTACATAATATGTCAAAAGCACATATACACTTGAGCCAATGTATTTTAATTTTATGAATTTCACCATCTTAAACGTCTACATACGTATTAATAATCTAATCTTAGATAACAAAATCATTCGCTCTTTGGTATTTCTAATTATCAATATTTATTTCTATGTTATTAGCACTAAGTGAGCAAGTCTCACAGCAAAGCAAGTGCTCAAACATGAAACAATGAGAGGCCTTGTAGAAAATCAGGTGCTCTAGCACCAAACAAGCATGTTCAAAAATTTCTAAAAAAGTCATGTTAGAACAAACAATGAAACTCATAATCAAGGTCCAAAAGTTATGATATACAATGATCGGAATGAATCATATATATGTATTAACAGAAGAAAAATGTCTCATACAGCCACTGGGGGTCGACCCCCAGTGAGGTGGCACTCCATAATTGAACAAAAAAAGACTGTTTTTTTTTTTTTTTTTGGATTTCAGCCAGCGGGGGTGCGACCCCCACTGGGAGTATGCAGCAGTGTTGTTAACAGAATCAAACACTACATCACTTGGTGAATAAAATATTTTATGTGGTTGAGCTTTAGGCCAAGTTTTGCAATCCAAAAATAATCTATTTTTTTATTTTTTTTATTTTTTTTCATCATATCATCTCTCTACTTTTTTACATATCTTTTTATAAAAAGATAAAAAACACACTTATTTAGATCATTGCACATCTTTTCGTAAAAAGATAAAAAATACACTTACTTATTTAGATCATCCAAAATAACCCCTTAATCTTACTAGCTCAAGTAAAAAATTCAATCAATTCAAAGTCTGAGTTTTTTTTTCCTAAAGTTTTCTAAAGTGGTGTGTTGTATGGATGAGATTTAATGCTAAAAAATTGATGTGATTTGTCATTAAATCTCAACCATATAACATAACACCCTAAAAAATTTAAAAAAAAAAAAAAAACTCTGGAGGAACCTTGATCCTAAAGATTTCGCCTCTTACGTTGTCTAAGAAACCCTAAAGTTAAATTTAAAATTCTAGTCACCGAATCCACACACACTCTCTATAAAATATTTTATGTGGTTGAGCTTTAGGCCAAGTTTTGCAATTTAAAAATAATCTATTTTTTTATTTTTTTTCATCATATCATCTCTTTACTTTTTTACATATCTTTTTATAAAAAGATAAAAAACACACTTATTTAGATCATTGCACATCTTTTCGTAAAAAGATAAAAAATACGCTTACTTATTTAGATCATCCAAAATAACCCCTTAATCTTACTAGCTCAACTGAAAAATTCAATCAATTCAAAGTCTCAACATTACGAGTCTAAAGATTTCGCCTCTTACGTTGTCTAAGAAACCCTAAAGTTAAATTTAAAATTCTAGTCACCGAATCCACACACACTCTCTCTCTGTCTCCGACTGCGTGCGCGTTCGTGTGCGTGTACTGTGAGTCTGTAATAATGGCGATTTGCTGCTATGAATCTGCTGCTTCGAAGCTCATCTCCATCTCCACATCCCCTCCGACCAACCCCTCCAAACCCAACACTTGTTTCTTCTCTGTATCCCAAACCTTGAGATTGAGATGCAACCTCTCACTCCCTTCCAAAACCCTCGTTACAGAACCCCAACCCCTCTTCACCTCCGTCAAGTCCTTCGCACCCGCAACGGTGGCTAACCTCGGCCCTGGCTTCGACTTCCTGGGATGCGCCGTCGACGGAATCGGCGACTTCGTCACCCTCCGACTCGACCCTCAGGTCCACCCTGGCGAGATCTCCATCTCCGACATCAATGGCAATTCCTCCACCAAACTCAGCAAAAACCCTCTCTGGAACTGCGCTGGAATCGCCGCCATCGCCGTCATGAAGATGCTCAACATCCGATCGGTCGGCCTCTCCCTCTCCCTCCACAAAGGTTTGCCTTTGGGCAGCGGCCTCGGATCCAGCGCCGCCAGTGCCGCCGCAGCCGCAGTTGCGGTGAACGAGATGTTCGGCGGTCCGTTATCGGTGTCTGATCTAGTCCTCGCCGGACTCGAATCGGAATCGAAAGTTTCCGGCTACCATGCCGATAATGTGGCGCCGGCGATCATGGGAGGGTTCGTGTTGATTCGGAGTTACGATCCACTGGAATTGATTCGATTGAATTTCCCGAACGAGAAAGACTTGTTCTTTGTGTTGGTGACTCCGGAATTCGAAGCTCCAACAAAGAAGATGAGAGCAGCATTGCCAACAGAGATTACGATGTCGCATCATGTGTGGAATTGCAGTCAGGCTGGGGCACTGGTGGCGTCGGTGTTGCAGGGAGATTTGAAGGGATTGGGGAGGGCATTGTCGTCGGATAAGATTGTGGAGCCGAGGAGGGCACCATTGATTCCAGGGATGGAAGCGGTGAAGAAGGCGGCCATGGAGGCTGGGGCTTTTGGATGCACCATCAGTGGAGCAGGGCCTACAGCAGTGGCGGTGATTGATGATGAGGAGAGGGGGAGGGAGATTGGGGATAGGATGATTGAAGCGTTTATCAAGGAAGGGAACTTGAAGGCATCAGCAATGGTGAACAGGCTTGACAGGGTGGGTGCTAGACTTGTAACTAGCATTCCTAGATGATTGATCATCATGAATAACAAACAACAAAGGAAAGGACCCCCATTCAGTGCATGGTGGGTGCTCTGTGTGTGTGTGTTTTGAACCAAAAAACATTGGCAGTGATTGCTGTACTGTATCAATGGTGGTTGGGTTGTCCATCTCATTGATTTGTAAGGGGAGGGAAGGGGAATAAAAATAAAAATGAGCCAGCCACCCAGCCAGCCATATGTGATCGATCATGCCCTTGTGTTGTTTCTTGTGATTTACATCCCCAAATGGTTGCATTTGCATTTATATCACAAATGACTGTTTTACTGACTGAATTTGATTTACAACTCTTCTAAGCTCACCTTCAATTGTGTTTTTATTTTTTATTTTTTTTATATGTCAAATGGAAAATGCTATAGACCCAAATAATCTACTAAATTTTTTATCAAACTTCTCACGTGACCCACGTATGTGTGGATTTTACACCCATGCAAAAAGTTTGATAAAAAATTTAGTAAATTATTTAAATCTCTAGCATAACTCATGTCAAATTGTAACAATTAAATTTCGTACAGAATTTGCCACCAACTTTTGCAAGATGCCAAAATTTAACGAGACTGGTTCTTTCCTTCACATTCATGATGATGGGATTGTTATTTACATTGGGTTGCTATTAACATCCTAATTTCTTCTTAGTAAATGCTAACAAGTGTGTTTTAAGCATTGTTTAATGTTAAAAATATGTAAAAAATGCTTTAAAATATATAAAAATATTAAAAAGTATATTAATTTGAATAAAATTACATTAAATTTAATAAAAGGCATCTTGGGTTCTTTAATTTTTATTTTTATTTTTAAATCTTTAACTAATACATCAAGAGCACTTGTGGATACTATGCATGCAAGGCACAACATCTTTGCTAGTAGCACCCATTATATTTGACATTTTATAAAGAAAATAAAAGAAATGACATTTACACGATTAGAACAACATTTTTAAATTATGACAGATTGGTTTCACCACCAGCTGCAGATGCTCTAATTGACTATCAAAACCGTGACATGTATTCCGAATGTATCCCTCCAACCCTTCCCACAAAAAATACACAAGATTCTCCATCAATGTAAAGGTATAGAATTGTTTCAAAAAAAAAATGCATAGAAGAGTTATTATTATTATTTAAATGGATTTATTATGTGATTTCCCAGCAACATTGATTAGAGCTGTGTGTTCCCTTACGAACATGCTTTTCTTTTAGCTTATGTTTCTTATAGATGCTCTACGTGTTTCTTATTAAGTTTTCAGGGGAACCGAGGAAAAAGAAAAATAGACGAAAAAAGTCGGTGAAGCATGATAGGTGGAAAAGAACACATACAAGAAAATTTTCCCAAAGATATCAAAACTATCAAACTACTCACAAAAATTTATATATAAAGAAAAAGGTAACCAAATCCAGCATTTAAAACACAAATCAAAACTTTTATCTTTTTTAAATCACAGACACTGTCATCAATTGATTTTAGAAGCCGCTGCCTGCTTGGCACCAACAGAAAAGAACTCCGTAATCACTTCAAGGGGCATGCCCTTGGTTTCGGGAACCTTGAGGAAAACGAAAAACCATGATATGGTGCACACAACAGCATACATACCAAAAACACCAGTAAGGCCAACGGAGTTGAGCATCACTGGGAGTGTGTATGTAACAATGATGTCTCCAATCCAAAATGTGAGGGCACATATGGCAATGCAGAGGCCACGAACCCTTGTGGGGAATATCTCTGCACAAAGAATGTTTGGGATTGGCCCAAATCCCATCACGAAGCAACAGAAGTAGACCACCACACTAACAGTTGAGATGGCCGCATTTGCAACATCTCCAAGGTTAACAAGACCTCCGATGACAAGAATGACCAGGGTTCCTATCAACAAAGGGATTGTGCTAAGCAGCAAGGTCCTGCAATGCAAGAATGGGTTAACAAACCAATTAACAGTTGATACCCAAAGGTTTTGAACCACAAAATGCTCAAGTCATTATCTTTTACTAGGTAAAGAATGTCGAGAACAAAGTACCATGAAGTTAACCAACCCAACCTAAAATGGCATGCACATGATATATATATGTCTATTTTACATGAATATAAAAGGCCAATTATTGCCTTCCATTGTTGAAGTCTGGTCAACACAACCACAAAAAGGAGGACCTGCTTCAGCTCTAAGCATTTTTTTAAGGTTAGCTAAACACTTCAAAGAGTTGGAAGATAAGATTTTACATGTTAGTCTGGCTAAATTCTTAGAATAATTTGAGGACTGCAATGTAGGCTCAAATTTTCCTTTATGTAGTTTTCCCCCCTCTTATCGCAAGAAAAATACAATCATACAGAATTAGAAAAGTTGACTTAGCAGGGTGTTTTCCAGTTGTTCATTGTAATTAGAGAGTCCTACAATCTGCCCTACTTTCCTTTGGTTTTTGTGCTACTGAAGGTTTTTTTCTTCTTTATTGTTTTGCATTTTTTATGGAGGGGTGGAGATGGACGGGTGCACAATATCAACCCTGAAAAAAAAAAAAAGAAAAGAGAGAGAGGATACATTTTTGTGGGAGAACTAATATTAAGTGGGAGGACTTCAAAATAAAAGGGGGGAAATTTTTTTTCTTGAAAATGGGACTCAGTCACAACCAATTTTGCCAAATAAAAATAATAATAATAATATGAAACATGGTCACATCCATCCCTAAATGTGGCAGTCACATGTTGAAATGTATTACTAGTTTTCTACAAAAACTACCACCTTTTAGTACATAACAATTTGGAGACTTGACCAATACATGATGCAACATGAAGGAATGCACATGACTAGTACATTGCCAATATTATACCCAAAAAAAAGTACCTGAAAGGAAAATTTTATGTATGTGTGTTGGCAGGGTGTGCCAAGATACATCTACCATAACTATGTGGTTTGTGTAATGTATCCATCTCATCGCTCAGGGAGGTGTATTTTTGTAATCAATGAACGAGAAAGGAAAATTCCCTCACTGCGAAACTGCAGCACAGAGTATAGAATAATAAATTCTACATCCTCTATGGCCATCTCAGCTGACAGTAAAATTGGTACTGGTACCAACGAGCCAACCTCCTCGTCGAAGACCGTGGTCTAGAACCAGTCTTCCTCCAAAAATAGGCTATGTACCACTAGTCCTCACCAGGCAGTTTCGGTGGTGCCAGACCCCGAGATGCCTTTGGCCCTCCATGTACTCTCTGGCCTCAGTGCTATGGGTTGACTCAACAAACCCGAGCGAATAACCACATTCAATGCCCCTCACACCCTCAACATTTCTACAAGAGTTTGGGATTCTAAACAAAGAAATCAACAAGGGAAGAGAAAACCGAAGGAGGAAAAGAATCTCAAGGGCAGAGGCACATGATCTCAAAGCTCTCCAACCAATGAAGAAGAAAAATGAAATAAGGCCCCCTTAAATATGTCTAGGGCATCTTTGAAATATGAAGCATCACTTGGAAAAATGAGACGACCACTAGACCACAGAAGCGCAACGTCCAATCTTTGCCATCGTAACTTTTATTCCAAAACGTCTCCCGGCTTGACAAATGCCAACAATCACTTAAACCCCACAAGTGAGTGTTAAACCGGCTAATGGTTCATGAGAGCTCACATGAAGAGACCATAATGTAGTTACATAGGTCCAGCCCCACAACGTGGTATTGCCACGACATCCCTTGGGTGACTTCTGTGGATAACACGTAGACCGCTCATGCATCAACAAACACCTCATGCCATGAGTGTAATTACTAACAACCTCGCTTCACCCAGTGCCTCAAGCAGCTCATGTGCCGCTAATGACCTCGCTCACCCAAGACCTCGAGCTCGCATGGTTTACCCTGCTCACTGGTCACCCCACTGAGCATGCCTCGACTTCCAAGACTAAAGTATGCTGCTCGCACTACCTACATTGGGAGTAGGGCCTATGTACCTTGAATGCGACCACCAAAGGACTTGTGGATTAGAAGTTAGATTTCAAGGCTTCGTCCAAGCACTCGCTGAGCTCCCCCTCAATAGCAAGGTGCGCTTGGACCAATCTTCGAGAGAGGGACCTTGATCACGACATGTAATTCGTCGATGATTGTATCATACCTACCTCTAAGCCATTAACACAAAGAAAAGGGACATATCATATTTACCAACTGTCAACACATGATACATCCCCCAAGGTCATGCTATCGTTGCAAAATTTCCTGAAGCTCCCTCCATTTTGCCTAGTCAAGAGGGTTGAGCCAGCTGTCTCAGTTGAGCTCGCACCCCATATAGAATGGCTTCATTCATGCAGATCACCACCTTGCTCCTCAGGCATACAGAGCTATCCACTGCCACGATCTCTTTCCTAAGCTGGCTTGGCTTTCTCCTCTCTCAGCTATGGTGGTCTTCAGCCATCTCCAATCCTACCATAATCCCAAAAGGCATCCCTCAGCCAGCTCACTCATCGACTATCCACAACCTGTATCACACCACTAAGTTGTCTATACTAACCACCAACATCGATTTTGGGTACAAACACACTTTTGTTGAAAGTTGGTCAAGCTTTTTCTTAGAAGCATAGTAAGGATTACTTTCGATAGCATCGCAACACTGAGTTCAAGGTATTTTCTTCTACCCTTCTTACGCTAAAAAAGTAGGGTCAGCTAATGCCCATGAAAACCTACCCTCCTCTATCCTACAGGGCCAACAAGGAATAGTACATAACATTCATCTCTTGTCCATCAAATATCTAAAGGGAGATCCTAAATACGCCCACTTAATTTCTCTCCACACCCATTGCATGCATTATAAACCTTAAGATGAGAATGCTTAAATGGATTTGTGGTAAGACTAAGAAAGAAATAGAAATGAATTTTTTTATGAAATGGTGGGAGTAGCACCTATTGAAGATTAGTTGAAAGAAAACAAGTTCAGATCGTTTAGTCATGTACAATAAAGACCTATAGATGCAACAATAAGGAAGGGTGATATATATGATCACCATATATAGAGATGTTAAGGGTAGGGAAGACCTAAGTTGACATTTAATACGTTAGTGAAAAAATATACTCCCTCCATCCCATATTGTTTGTCCAGTACGCAAAAACGAGAACATAAAAATAATGTATTCTCATACTAAAATTTTCAAAAATTTTCACCAATTGAAAGATCTCATTGAGTACATTTAATTTATGTAAAAAAAAAAAAATCTTGGCACAAAAATATAGTATTTCTTAAGTTCTCGCTTTTTGTGTTGGACAAACAATTTGGGATAGAGGTAGTATAATTTATTTAATTTAACTGAACATACAGCCCTTGATAGAGCTGAATGGAGAAAGGATTCTTGTAGCAAACCTCAATAGGGACAAAAGGCTTAGTTTGGTTTACTCACCTTTGGGTTGGAGAGAAGAGGTCTATAGGACATATAAAAGGACATCAAGTAAGTAGGGATGACAACGTAATGGCTAGCGGATGGGGTCATCCATACCACCTAACCTAGTGGGGTCAATGATCAACCTCTCCCCTAGACCAACTCAACCATAAATGTTTTCAATTGTCTCATGTTCAATAACTAAACAAACACAAAACATTCACCCCAAAAAGAAACTATTGTCACTCCTAGAGCCACCCTGAGTAACAACGGCATGGAGAAAGGTAGGCTACTGACTTTACGGTCTCTAAAAGGAAGTCAAATATTCCCTTTTTGCACCACAGACATTTCCTAAATCAACAGAATTTAGTGATCTTCCAATTTCATACAAGAACTGCAATTATGCCAAGAGAATAAAAGGATAAGAGAAAGAAAGCTACCTTCTCCCAGATATATCCATTAGCCTCATAGCAACAGCTATACAAGGAAGCATCAACAAGGTCGTGATGGTACTAATAAGCAGTGAAGAAGAAGCTGAACTGATGCCCAAATTTGACAGAAGAACTCCAACACCTGCCTGCTCCAGAATTTGAGGAGTGTAGTAAAGAACTCCGTTTATACCAGAGAACTGCATAAAGAAGAAGACACACCATATAGAGCAAATTAGTTATACATAGAAAAATAAAAATAAAAAATTGAAAGTGAAATTAAGCAACCCATTGATAAGGTATACTGCACCATAGGAAGAGCTGTGTGACGATGAAAAATTACTTTGGTGTGTGCATCACATCTATCAGTTTGAATTTATTGTTATATCACACAATAACAATAACCATAACTTAACAACAACATAGCATCATCATCATCAACAACAACAATAACAGATTATTATGTGTGCCACTGAACTAGTATTGCAAAAGCAATTTTTTGATTGAAAGTGCAAGCTCCTTGATTTGGAAGACATTTTCACATTAGATATACATGAGATGGTAATTGAATAAGGCAAGAGAAAATGGAAAACATTGCTTTCAAAATTTTCATTTTTAAAAGGAAGACTTTAAATAAATGGACAGGTAAAAAACATTTTTCCAACTCAACCTGGTCACTGAAAAAGAGATATCTAATGCAAGCTTCTCCTTAATTTGCAGAAACTTTGCAAATATCTATTACAATCCAAGTTGGCGTTGACATCAAAGTGAACATTGGGCGAAAACCAAATGGATTATTGTAAATTTGGAACACTTCTAACAAAAGACCTAGAATTGCCATGATAGTTTTTTAGGTGAATTTTGTAACAAGGCAATAAGGTTGAATATGGAGAGATAATAGAGACATTAAAGATAAAAGAAAGGACACAAAGGTTTAACGTGGTTCAGCCAATAATGACCTACATCCACACACACACAAAGCCCTATGGGCTACATCTTTCATTCACTCAACTTCATACTCTTATTTACATGATACATCATACATATAGAGTGAGAGCAACAATCAAATTTCTTTAGTTAAGGGATTGAAATAAATTAAAGAAACAAAAAATCATGATAAACATAAATCATGAAATTTTCATATATTCTAGTATTTTTCATATCTTCTGATATCTTTAATAACATAATCTTATCTTTAAAAATTTTTATCACGCAATATTTAAAAAAAAAAAATTAGGATTAGAAAAGGTAAAAAATTTATTGCCGAAACCATTCCCAGTAATACTAATCAAGTTTGGAGAATTCAACCCTAAAGATATCCCTAAAATCCTCATCGTGTTTCGTTCATTACTCTTCATTACTCTTCAACCCTAAAATGCTAATAATCGTAATATGATCCCAAATGAAGTATTTGTCAAACGAGCAGGATCTGTCACCTGTGTGTCCTATATAGGAAACATTTTCCACTCAGTAAAATTGGACATATCTTCTTAATTACGCAAAGAAGCCTAGTGTCCCAATTCAATGGGTCAAGTTTATCTATATAAGGGTAAGAAAATACAATGCACCAAACCCTTTTGGCTTTATCTTGTCTAACAGTCATGGAAACTGGAATCCTGTTTATAACAGGAAACGAGAAAGGAGCCAACTCATGGTACGATATAAAGAAAGGAAAATGGTAAATGCATTACTTGTTGCATGCTACAAACAGAAAGGACACCAATTGCTATTGCTTAGAATTTAACTTTCCAAAGCGAAAAAATGCCACAAAAAATTTCAACAGATTCTATTGGTTACCTGCTGAAGTATTTGAATCCCCACCCCAACAACCAAAGCATGCTTGACTCCTGGTTCAAAAAGATCATTCCAACTTGGCCCTTTCACAGCAGTTTCAGATGGGTGTAACATAGCTGGTCCAACTGCATGCTGATTCACAAGCTCCTTAGAATAAAGAGCTGGTTGACTCACCAAAGCAGCAGCCTGGATGAACTCGCCTTCTGCAGGGACATCACCACCAGGAAGAGAAACTATAGATCCACGCCGAGATGCAGAGACACCCTCCTCATGCAAATAAATTCTTTTAAATCCACCTTCCTTCTTTCCATCTTGACCTTCTCTCTCAGTCCATTGCCATGCCAGCTGCCAACCCCCACCAATGCCCATGCTACTGAGAGGTTCCCCAGTATTTCCTTGCGTGAGACTATCGTGCCTCATGCTTAAAATGCTTCCATGGGCAGCTGGAGGGACAATGTCTTTCTCCAAGCTTGTTGTCTGGCGCGAAATTAGTGGACTGTTCAAATTGTTGTCAGAATCAGCAGCACCAGCATCGGACGTATAATCCTCCCCCTCTCCGGCAAGGCTCTCTTCATCCCACTCTTCATTTTTAGGTTGCTGCCCTGCCATGCTGAACATGCTACCAAAGTGTGGAAAAAGCATGCTTCGCATGCTTCCTGTCTCAGGAAGCTTTTCATGGACACTGCCAAAGAGGGTGACAAGAGGATCCATAAGGGGTACATTCTGGTTTGCAATGCTTCCCTGGCGTGATGCAAAACCAAGACTACTCTGCCCAGTGACAGGTCGAGCAACCCAGGAGAGACCTTCTTGAGGCCCATACAACCTGATTTTATCTCTTTCAGCAGTTGGTTCCTGGTCATCAGTGATTTCATTGTCTGGGCACATTATGTATTCTTCTATAGATGTTTCACCCCCAACTCCAAGACCTTCAACTAGCAAAGCCATCTCTCCTGTAGATAAAAGGGAATTCAAAATTATCCAGATGATGCAAAAATAATAATTATAAAAAAGAAAAGATCAAAATAGCAAAAAAAAGTATGGCAATCAACAGTCTTCTGACTTTGCTATACTCGTGAGAGAAACATATCTTAAGATTGTGTAAAGTTAAATCAGTTGTAAGCTAGATACCAAATCATACCATACCAAGCCCGGTCTCCCAATCAAGTGGGGTTGGTTATATGAATTATTTTTCTCCATCCTATTCTGTCGTGGGCTATATGCTTAGTAATTTTGCTCAGTAAGCTAGATAAGTTACTAAAAAAAGTTAGGCTTGTCAAAAAGATGTTAACATAATTTCCAACAATAATTGGGCATGCATGTGCCTATTCGGTGTTGTTTAAAGCAGCAGAGGAAATGGCAAACCACTTGATGTATGGTTTGGTGGCAAGGAAGTTGAGGTCGCAAGGGCCGGTGTTTGAGTTAAAGATGCTGTTTGAGCTTCCTGTACTTCTAGTTCTCATGCAACCAATTCTTTCATTTTGAATCTTTGGTTGACTTTTTAGGTAAAATTGGAGCATAGGTTTTCATTTTCTTCATTCTTTTAGTTTCATTCCTCTTCTTTTCTATGTAAGTATGGGAGTTGCATGGGTTACAACCTTACAATACATTTTAGTATTCATTTCATTTAATTACAAAAATATGCTCAATAATGCCATCAACACATCTCTGCAATGTGTACGTTGGAGTCCCAACAATAATTTAACAAAGTGTCAACAAACAAGGCAGAGTCTGCAACTACACGTCTCCAGCTTTGCATAACAAACCTATCAAGAAAAATTTAATTAAGCAATGAGTTTCCAATGCTTAACTTATAAACTTAATTTAACAATATCAATACAAGAAAAAACCAAAAAAGGAATAAAGTTCATGTATTTATGCGCAAGGTTTAAACAAATAAAAAGGTAAAATAAAAGCAACATTAAAGTTCATGCAGAGAATCTTTTCAATAAATAATGTAGAAACTAATTTGGCAGAGTTCAATTCCTCAGAGTCGTATTAACTGGAGTTTTACAATGCAACATATAATAATTTGACCATTTACTTGCAGGCCCATGCAAAAAAAAAAAAAAAACAAAATGAAGCATTCAGTAAGGAACAGAAGACTGACCAGAGACATCTTCCCTGCCACGCAATCTCTGCAATACCTGCTTCGCCTCAAGCATGCGTCCTTTGCTCACAAGCCACCTTGGAGACTCAGGCAGGTAAAATATTGTTAATACAAAATAAATGAGGGAGGGAATAGAGAGAACCCCAAGCATCAACCTCCAGCTCGGGGAATCCATCAATGACATTCCAAAAACCATGCAATATGACAAAAACATTCCACCTGAACCAGTAAACTGAGGCAAAGTATTCAATAAACCCCTTATCTCGGGCGGTGCTGTCTCCGATATATAGATTGGAATGAGCGTAACTGCCAAACCAATTCCAAACCCATCTAGAAGCCTTGCCACCAGTAGAATGTAAACATTCGGGGACCACAACATTACAAGACCGCTAACAAAATAGAGGACAGATGACATTATAAGCATGGGCCGCCTGCCAAGCCAATCTGCCATTCCACCGGAGCATGTAGTAATTAAAGTGGCACCAATGAGTGACATGGCCACAATAAGCCCCTCTACAGTTGGGTTGCTTTCCAAGTTGAATTCCTTCTTTATGTATAAAACAGCCCCTGTTGTAAAAGAAGATAATGTTTTGGGGAATTGAAAGAGAAGGTTATGCAACAAATGATTAAGTAATCAAAACCCTACAAAAAGTAAACAGATAATGAGGAGGAATTCCACCAAAAAACCTGCACTTCTGTGGAGCAAATTTGATTCCTATAGAAGCAGGGGCAACTCCACACAGGTATGAGTGGAATTAAATTTTTATTTACTACATATAATTGTTCGTTTGATGAAAACCTTAAAATAGTTGTCACCACTGGAAAAGGAGTTTGAACACACTGCCCATTTAGTCCAATTCTAAACATCCCAAAACATCCCAATCCTCCATTGGGTCTACTCTACTCTACTCTACTCTACAAAGTCCATGCAAGAAAATCATTTGTTTGTGTATGTATTTAGTACAAATCATTTTGAAAATTGATGTAATTTATTCAAATTAGGACCTAAACTAGATGGAATTGTAATTTGAAGTCAATTTTTTGTTTTTTACTACGTGCAAATTGATGCATCAAATTGACTATGTTGTTTATTTTAAATCTTTTATATGATCAAAATTTCTAAAAGAACATCAATTGTAGTGCAAGATTCATCTCCTACCCAAGAAATGTGGGGTGATAGTCGCATAGAAAATTATTTTCAGCTAAGTTGTGTTAACATGAACAATCTTCTATGAGATCCAAGGAAAGCATGCCTAGTTTAGTCCTCACTGAATAAGGGTTTAAAAGGAGGAGTAGATTGAGTCCAAGGCTACAATAAAAAAATCTCATCTTATCAATTCTAAAACTTCATCTACTTGAGTGGCTTTTTTGTTGAAACAATTTATTTATGATTTGAGACATTAAAGTTTCTCGACTTCTTGGAAATAGGTGATAGATATTTATAGGTGTGAATTTCTATAGTACTGGTAAAATTCAGGGTGTGTTTGGTATCATTTTTGTTTTCATATTCTATTCTCAAAAATTGGGAAAATGAAAATTTTGTTTGACAAATTGATTTGCTGAAACACTTCTATTGGAAACACTTTATTATTTTTTCTGATAAGCAACAAAGAAGATTGTAATAGATAAAGTAGAGAGGGGGCACAACCTGAGTACAATCACACAAGAAAATCAAAAGAATGAAAAAGAAGGAAAAAAAAGTATTGAGGAAACTCCAAAATCCTACAGAAAACCGTAAAATAAAAAAGATAAGTTGATGAATGGGTGTTTTTTTATTGTTTTTGTTTCTGAAAATATCGAAGATAAAAACGAATTTTGAATTCCTACTGTAAAGAAATAAAACGCCTGGGGATTCAAAAGCACAAAATTTATTAGTTGTGATCCAAAATATAACAATACAATAAAAAAGAGTAAAAATAAACGAAAGAATAAATTACCAGCAATAGTAGCATTATCCCATCCTTGTAGTAAGTTACCCATTGCTGCAGCAACAGCCACCAGAACTGCTCCACTCATCTTGCTCTCTCTCTCTCTCTCTCTCTCTCTCTCTCAAAACTGCAGATTTCTGCAATTACTTACCTGAAACAGACATTTAAAACTCAGGGATCAAATTGAAAACCTCACAGTCACGAGATCGAAATCTAATGAAAGCATTAGATATATATATATATATATATTGATGATGATGATGATGATGAAGTAAAATTGAAAACAGGAGCAACTAGTAGAAGTAACACAGACTCAAATATAGAGAGAGTCAAAACAATTTTGAAAGAGTCTAATCCAAGGAAGAAATCAAAATCTTTAGATACCTATAAGGCAAAAAATAAAAAAGAATAATGATTGTTACCTATATTCGTTTGATATTGAAGAAAGGATCAGAAAGAACCAGCCATAGATTTGTTGAGGGATTCCTTCAGCTTTTAGAACTAGAATCCTTTGGGAGAAGAGAGAATCTTCTTCTCGCATACAACAGGCCAGAGTGTCTCCCACTGTGTCTGTATGTATGTTAATGTATCCCTCACTCAATCACACACCGCCAAACTCGCAAAACGGGCTACTTTTGTGGTGGGGGGCTAAAAGGAAAATAAAAGGAGAAAGAGGGGCTTTACTATTAAATAAAGTAGTTTGGGGGGTAAAAGGAAAATAAAAGGAGAAAGAGGGGCTTTACTATTAAATAAAGTAATAAACAGACAACAGTCCAGCATCAGCGCTGTGCCTGCTAGCTGTGCGACAGTTGCCCCCTCCTTCTCTCTCCTCTCCGCTCCTCTCCTCTCCCTCGCTGCCATGTAATGAAGCAATGCAACTCCTCCTAACTATTTTATATTAGAAGTCAGTTTTTTTTTTTTAAATATATAAAAAAATATAGAGATAATGTAATTTAAAAAATTTTAAATTAATAAATTGATTTTTAATCTAATTATCAAAATAGGCCGCCCATTTAGAAATAGACTATTTTAATTAGTTATTTTAGTTTAGTTTTAAAATTTGTGTTTAGGATAGTAAATTTTTTTTATTGTAGTTAATTTAATGATTGTGAAAGAAAAAATAAAATGATTATGATTTGAATGTGATATTTTATCTTATTAATTATTTTAAATTATTTTATTTTTATTGATTACTTTAACCTAAACCTAACTTCTCAAACATACCTACGTTTCGGCTTGCAATTTTACTAACTTTGGCATATTGAGAAATATGTTAAAAGTTAGTTTTTTAGATTATTTTTTATTTTTTATTTTTTGAAAAAACATTTTATAGAAAAGTTTAGTTTTAAAATTTGTGTTTAGGTTAGTAATTTTTTTTTATTGTAGTTAATTTAATAATCGTGAAATAAAAAATAAAATGATTATAATTTGCATGTGATATTTTATCTTATTAATTATTTTAAATTATTTTATTTTTATTGATTACTTTAACCTAAACCTAACTTCTCAAACATACCTACGTTTCGGCTTGCAATTTTACTAACTTTGGCATATTGAGAAATATGTTAAAAGTTAGTTTTTTAGATTATTTTTTATTTTTTATTTTTTGAAAAAACATTTTATAGAAAAAAAAATAAAGAGATAATATGATCTAAAAAAAATTAATAGGTCAAAAATTTAATTTTTAACTAGTTACCAAAATAGGCCGACACTTGAGAGGAGAAAACATTTGGAATTTAGTTTTTTTTTTTAAATTAATTATTTTAATTAAAAAATATTTAAACAAATAAAAAGAATAATTTTTTTTTATAATGATTTTTAAACTATTTTACCTTATTACCAGCGCGTCCATATCAAAATGTATGTCTCATTCCTATGTTTATTGACAAAGGCATAAACCAAACAGATCACTCCACCTTCATAATCGCTTGCAATCCTGATTACAATTTAATTTATTGGCATTTTGATTTAAAAGTTTATTTATTGAAAATATAAACGCCAAAAGAATTTATTTTCGTTTTAAAATAGAGGAATTGAAATTTATAATTTTTATTTAATTATTAAAAATATAGTAATTTATGATTAATCAAAAATAAAACCACAGTGAGCCTGAACCAACCGAATATTTTCCATAGTGGAGAGAGTAAACAATTAAGGAGAGAGTAAAGTAAACAATTAAAGAGTAATGATGGAGAACACTCCAAATGCCAGTTGTAAGTGTCGTATTACTACGTATCTATAGTGACACTTTATATTAGTAAAGAAGTGCAGTCTACTTCAGTCCAGATGGATCATCTATCAAGTTTTTTACTACTCTTTTCCTCACAAAAACCTAAAAGAAGTCTTTTTACTACTCTGACTCGCAAGATTTTAGTTGTTCAATTTTGTAATATTTTTATGTACATAACATATGAAAAAATAAATTATAGATTTTTTAAAAATATATATATTTAATAAAATTGTGTTATAACAATTATCAAGTTAATTAATTTTATCATATAAAATAAATTATTTAAATCACTCAAATTTGAATTGTGATAGCTCCACAAATCTCCTTAATTTAATAGAAGCAAGTCTTATCGTGACGAGCTTAAATTGACTCTTGACAAACACCTGATAAATGTTGAATAGAAATGAGAGGGTAATTTTTGGTGAAAATTAGGCCGAGCTATGAAATGGATTTTGTGGCCCAAAGTACGAAGGACTGTGTAAAAGAGACTGTAATATTACTTCGGTTTTTGGTGAAAATTGGGTCGAGCTATGAGATGAATTTTGTGGCCCAAAGTACGAAGGACTGTGTAAAAGAGACTGTCATATTACTTCGGCCCAATAGGGACAAAGTTACTCCGGTCGAAAGAAGAAGAAGTTACTTCGGCTTACGAGTTATAAAGTACTTCGGTCCGGAAACAGTTTGGAGTTATACCGGTCCAGAATCGTGGGTTCGGTTTGAACGTACTATGGGTTGAACAGGAGAGAACTGAGGTAAGGAAGAATGAAGGGAGAACCAAACCAATGATAGTCCGGCTTAATCTGTGGCTCGGCATATCCAGGTTTATTTCGGTTGTATGGAAGTTCGGCCATGATGAAAACCATCCCACTTGGTTTAAGCAGTGGGGGGGTGTAAAATGATAAGCATTATCCTTTAGGAGTGTGAATCCTAGGAGGACTCTGCATGGAGAAATAAAAGTCTTACTAGGATTGGACCGCTCGAAACCTATAAAAGCTCACAAACATCACATTGGAGGAGGTAACATAAGACAACATACAATCTTGCTTCCTGAATACATTGAGCTTTGTCTATTTGTCAAGTTTTCTGACTTAGGCATCCGAGAGGTTTCCGGCATACACCCGCCGGCTAGCTCACGCTTGTGTTTTCAGGTAACAAAGCGACGTCGTACGGAGGAACGTAGACTTAGTCAACAGAATTATACGAGGAGAATTATTTCTTCCCCGTACAGAGTAATATATATTTAGCCATCTTCTTCTTTCTTGGATTTTTTAGAGGCATTATAAATTAGAGTGTTGCTATTTATAAATAAAACTATTTTTTATTATAAAATTTATCATTAATATATAAATATTTTTTAAAAAGTATACTAAAATAAAATTTTCTCATGTTTTTGAGGGACCAAGTATAAAGTTTTTATCAATTGGAAATAATGTATGTAATTAACCGCATGACTCCAAAAAGGGCAAGGATTTTAATGTGATGACTTATATTGTGGAACGTCACGAGTGTGTGTGTGGATTAGTCCCACACGGTTTCCCCTGGACCTGATTACAACGCTTGACAGTGACATCGCGTACACGTCGGCAAAGCACTACATAGCCACGTTTATTAAAATACAAAAATGTTTGAAATCTTAAAAATTTTATCAAAATTTTTATCAAATATTTTACATAATTGTGAGACTTATATTATAGGGCAAATTGCAAATCCCTTTCTCGAGATTTAGCTAAATTATAAATATCCTCCTAAGGTTTTAAAAATTACATCCCGCCCCCTGAGGTTTATATTTTCATAACAATTTGCCCCTTGAAGTTTATATTTTATAACAAATTACTCCCTAATTTGTTATGCAAATATAGCATTCAGGAGAAAATTTATAATTTCTCAAACCTCGGGAGTATCTGTAATTTAGCCAAATCTCGAGGGGGATATATGTAATTTGCTCTATATTATATGTTTCCATGTCGGTCCCACAAATATTTGATAAAAATTTTAATAAAATTTGTACAATTTCTAACATTATTCATTAAAATAAGTTTAGAGAAAATATTATTTTTTTATTAGTAAAAAAGAAAATTTATTGATAAAAAAACTATAATTACAAATGAGATAAACTTTTACAATTTCTAACATTATTCATTAAAATAAGTTTAGAGAAAATATTAATTTTTTATTAGTAAAAAAGAAAATTCATTGATAAAAAATTATAATTACAAATGAGATATAATTAATAAAGAGAAGGTGGGGGGAGACAAAAAAGCAAATAGCATCCTAACCAAACTTTCTAATCCCAACTATGTTGCCATCCAAACCCAACCATGTAGATATGTGGAGATTTAAATTCATACTCTTGACACTGGAAGGTTTGTACCTCAAAAGGTTTGTTCTACTAATTAGATGTAGGGGTGTGCGCGGTGCGGGTCGATGCGGTTTGAGAGAAAAATAAAAATCGTATGGTGGGTGGCGGATTGATAAAAGTGTTACTAGAATTTGTCATTTTTCTTATTAAAAATCGGCGGTTCGGTTGGCAAATAATGGCGGATTTGCCTTGGCTGTTTGGGCGGAGTGGCAGTTTATAAAAAATATAATTCAAATTACAAAATTTAAATCAAAGAGTAAAAAAAAGACGAGAGATACCGTGATGTTAAGCATCTTGCGAAACTTTCTTCTGATGCAACAAGTGTAGCAACAACATGATAATATAAACAACTATGCCATCAATTCATTACAAGCATCTGTGGAAGCTACAATTATCAAATACAATACATAAAATTAATATCATTCAGGTGCATCTAGAAAATCTGCTTTAGACCAGATTTTCGTATTTTTTTATATCAATTCTTTTTTCTTTTCTTTTTTTTTTATATCGATTTTTTTG